ATTTTGCTTTTATTTTGTTGATTTACTTTATGGTCGTTTTTTCAGCAATTTTTAAAATTTAAATTTATTTTGTTTAATTCTAATATATACCTATGTAAATAATTTAAAGTTAATTTTATCAATATGTTAAATATATAGTATAGAATAATTAATAATAATATTTTCAAAAATGTTTCGCGCTTAAAATTAAGTTATACTGCATGACGTCATTTGTTTATAAACGGTAATTTTCGTTATTATTTGAAAATATTTTGCACTGACGATGATATATTTTTTATCAAAAAAGCTTTTTGCAATTATTTATATTAATATACATGAACAATAATAATTTTAGTTTTTTACTTAATAAAGTAAATAATTATAATGAAATTTTAATTAGAAAACTTTAAAAATTAATGTATAAACATAATAATTGTATTAACGCGGTTGATTTTTTTGAAAACTGTATCGAATATGGTCTAAATCCTAAGTTCAAAAGAATATATATATATATATTGAATTGATATGATAACAGTTTGCTTCATAGATTGCCTGATCGGTCGTCTCTTGCTATTCTCCTGTTGATTCAAAACAGGGCTGCAAAAATTGTTGTTTGTGGTAGAAAAGTCGACCATGTGACGCCCATTTTGAAGATCCTGCATTGGCTCACAGTAAGAAAAAGAATCATCTATAAAATCTTTATAATAATGTACAAGGCTGTGAATGGGCTCTTGCCAGAATATTTGGCAAATAAAATAACTAAAGGATGGCCTAGTGGTTAAGGTCGCCTAGCTGTTTCGCAGTAACCGGGTTCGAATATGACAAAAAGTTACCTGTCTATCGCATACTTCGTGTGTGATGCGTTGTTTACCATATATTTATATACGATGTTTGTGGCGTATTGTTGAATCCTCCGAACTTTGGCAGAGTGTAATTGACCTTTTTAATTGACCTTTAAGAAACCATCTCTTTCAACTGGTCTAAATTTGAGATCCGATAACAGCAACTTGCTTCTGGTGCCATCAACTAATTTGCGGATTGCGTCGAGAGACATCGCCATGTCGGGACCAATTGTTTGGAATGGTCTGCCAAATTCGCTTAAAACGCCTGGATTGAAGATAGATGATTTTAAAAAGAATTCGAAAGCACATTTATTTTCGTTATAAATAATATCTATTTATTTGAAATGATTAAACCATTCATTTATTTTATTATTTTACTGTTATGGATAGTGCTTTTGAGAAATTTTTGCTTTATTAAGCGCTTTATGAAGTTACGATAATATATATATATATATATATATATATATATATATATATATATATATATATATATATATATATATATATATATGTAATAAATTCCACCGATTTATTAGTGTTTATCAACTTATATTCAAATTTGTCTAAGTAAATTTTCATCAACAAAAACCATTTTGATCAAATCTGAAAAATCTGAAAAACCTTCCATCAGCATCCAACAACGAATCACAACAACACTTCCAACTCGAATGAACAACAATAACGTTAATCGGATCAACCAGCAATCTAACAATGATGATTATAACAATAATGATAATAACAACAGCACAATCAACAAAAACAATAATAATAATAATAATGGGAACAGATCTTTTATTTTCATCAAATGCGTAAAATCAATAATTAATTAGTTAATTACTAGAGAAATAGTCATGATTAAAATGAAATCATAATCGTCATAGTAAGTCATCATTGCTCTTCATTTAAAATAAAATAAGTACAGCAATGATATGATAGTTATGAAAAGTGATTCACGCATTGTTCCGATCACAATATGATGATAATACCACACTGCTAATTTGGCGAAAATATTTGGTCCAGTTAATTTTAATTAAAGACAAATTGAAGGAATTGTAAAAGCCTATGAGCGATAATTCAAAAAAATTTATTAAAATGGTAAAATTATCAAAATTGTTCATCAAGTTGTTTTTGAGATTGGTTGTATATTTGTCGAGTTTGTATTGCCTGGACTTGACAAAATTTGTTTCATGGCAAATAGTTAATTCAAGTATTTCAATCGTATTGTTGTTGAAAATGCCGATGTCTTGTCTAAGCGATCTGAATAGCTCTGATAGTGAACGTGTTGTATCATCCCCTACATCCGCGAAGATGGCGAAATTCGGACCAGAAAATTTTGTGGCGATTTAAGTATCGTTTGAGTGCTGCCGTTGAGCTACAATTTGAGAATACGTGTTAGTTTGTTTCACGATGCAAAGAGGGCAAAATGCATTGGTTGTTTTGCCCCATCTTTGAAGGTTAGCATTTGTAGGCAGTTGTGTAATATATTTTCTTACAAATTTATAAAGGAATTTGGATAGTTTTACTGTCGATTTAAACCATCGTGCAATCTCTGAGTCGTGGATATTTTCATTTACTAATTTGACCAGAGCTCCTTGACATTGCAGTATTGACAGGTGGTTCAGGTCACTCTGATGATGTTTTCGTTTGAGAGCTTCAAGTGCCTGCTTAATATCAACATTCTCCGGAATGAGATTGTCAACTTTTCAGTAAGTGTTACATGTTTCATTCCAGAGAGATTTTATTTTATTGAATGAGTTTCGTTTAAAGTAACCACGGAATTTCAGCCTCGCCATTTTAGCATGGCGCTTTAGCAATTTTATGTTGATGCCTCCGGATTTGTAGGGCAGAGATAATATTTTTGCGACGCAGCTGCTACACCGTCTACTTTTGGGTAGAAACCTTTCTGTATTGTTTTATGATGATGTTATTCATTTCGAGATATTTGTATAATCTATTGTTGACAAATGTTGAAAATATTTTACAGAGAACTGGTTGAAGGGTTATTGGTTTAAAGTTTGCTGGATCGCTGACGTCACCTTTTTTTGTGAATCTATATTGTCAGGCCTTTTTTCCAGCGTGAAGGGATTGACGATGATTTCCAGCATTCAACCAGCAGTTGGTGTAAAATTGTGCG